CTTCTGTGCCACCCAGCAGGTCATTTCCTAGGCAGTAGGTGTGCTGGACATTTTTCCTCCCTAGGTGCAGCACTTTGCATTTCTCCTTGTTGAACTGCATTCTGTTGTTTTCTGCCCACTTGTCTAACCTGTCCAGGTCTGCTTGTAGTTGTTCCCTGCCCTCCGGCGTGTCCACTTCTCCCCATAGCTTTGTGTCATCTGCAAACTTGGACAGAGTACATTTCACTCCCTCGTCCAAGTTGCTGATGAAGACATTAAAGAGTATCGGTCCAAGGACCGAGCCCTGCGGGACCCCACTGCCCACACCCTTCCAGGTCGAAACCAACCCATCCACCACGACTCTCTGGGTGCAATCCTCCAGCCAATTCGCCACCCACCGGACTGTGTAGTCATCCAAGTCACAGCCTCTTAACTTGTTCACCAGTATGGGGTGGGATACCGTATCGAAGGCCTTCCTGAAGTCTAAGTATACGACATCCACCCCTCCTCCTGTGTCCAGGCGTTTCGTAACCTGGTCATAAAAAGAGACTAGATTGGTCAGGCACGATCTGCCTGCCACGAACCCGTGCTGGTTTCCCCTCAGCATAATTTGTCCTGCCGGGCTCTCGCAAATGTGAGCCTTAATAATTTTTTCAAAGACTTTGCCAAGGATGGAGGTGAGACTGACTGGCCTATAGTTGCCCGGGTCCTCCTTCCTCCCCTTCTTGAAAATGGGGACCACATTGGCCCTTTTCCAGTCCTCCGGGACTTGGCCCGTGTGCCACGAGCGTTCAAATATTCCTGACAGTGGCTCTGCAATGATGTCGGCCAGTGCCTTAAGTACCCTCGGATGGAGCTCATCTGGGCGTGCCAACTTAAAGGCATCCAGTTCTTCCAAGTGACTGCACCATCTCAGGATCTACGCATGGAAGTCTGGCGCCTTGCTGTCTTCCATGATAAGCGTTTGTCCCCCCTCAGTTCAGCTGCACAGTACATCCTGGAAGTCTGAGTGCATGTATTATGGGAGATGTAGTTCAACACAAGAGTTCAGCTACTGCATATCTTACAACTCCCACTTGAGTGGCAGAACCATTCGGCCAGTGCTCCAGTACAATTTATTGTTGGGTGGAGAACTAAAGACCGTTTACAGGAAAAGACATGTATATCTTAAGCATGGAAAACTGTACACATGTCATTTCTGACCAAGTCCAACGAAATCCTGTTGGAAATAGATGAGCACAGCGGACCATGG